CTCTCTTGACTTTTAAAGCCAAGTCCTCCATAAGAGAGAAGGAAAAAAAGAAAGAAAGAAAATCATTTCCAAAGTTACTTGCCTTTGGGTTAGTGTTCACAAAGGAGAAAATTGAGGCCTGAGGGAAAAATTTTAGAGAGAGAAAGATGACTCTATGAAAATAGTTTTGCAGTAAATTGACTTTCTAAAAGTTTATTGGAGTTTGAGGACCCTTCTGGCTCTGATTATAAAGTCGGGAGGTTATGTTTTTCAAAGTTGAAATGGCAAGTCATTTATCACCCTATGTTTAACTGAAATAGATTTTTTGGTTAGAGATGAGAAAATAATAGCAGGTTTTAATCTATTGTGAATCATGTGCACATCTCTGTGCATAGAGGTGTTCACCATTATAGGTTCTCATCAATGCACACACAGGTACTAATTGTACTGCTTTATTATTAGGCAATACCCTAACCTGCATTTATTATTAGGCAATACCCAAACCTGCATTTTCTTAATTGATATCTTTATTTATCCTGCTTTATAAATAGCTTCTTTGTTATTTAACTATTTATAAAAGATTACACCTTCTTCATACATTTCCTGTCATTTAAAGTGGAAATTATTTTTTTCTTAGCAGCAGCACTATATACCTCAGTGATAATACTGTATCTCTCTGGACTTGTATATCCAAAGAATAAATAGCAGGTAACAGCTGGTTTTCCAATATTGGTTAAAACAATAGTGGCTAAAAAAAGTAGTTGAGGGTAGCAAGTTTAGAAGGCAAGGGTCGTGCACATACTGGAGGATGAGATTTGTGACTTGTAGAAAGTGACATGCTGAGATCCTGTCTTAAATACCTGCAGGTCCCGGGCGGAGAGCTAACACACAACAGTAGTCATAAAAGATGAAAGAACAGATAAATCTGTGATCAAACGGATTTTTATAGAATATATACACTATTGCAAAGCCATTGGATGTGAAGACTGTTGGATTTGCATAAGATAGCTTAGGCAATTTGAGACTTGAAGCTTTATGTTGGTGGCAAAGAGTTATTGGAAATAATGCAGCCTTAAAATTCCTGATAATTACCATTTCTGTTACTTGTATATCTTATCTTCACCCGAGTTTCAGATTAACTTGGGAGTGACTGTAAGTACTAGAATTGCGTTAAGTTTAGTTTAGCTCATATCTTGGTTGTTCTTGAGTTCTCAGCACTGGGCACCAACCACTCATAGATGATCAGGAATTGACTCATCCTCCTTTTAATCATCATAATTGTCCTCAAGGTCTGGGACAGTGGATCACACTTATTAATACCCAACAAAAGTAATACTGCCTTAAGGGATAATTTCATTTTAACAAAGCATATTTTTTTCAGGGTTTCTGCAAGTAGTTTTTAAAATTAGTTAAAAATATATACACTGCTGGTGTAGTTTAGTGGTATAGCCCTTGCCTAACAAGAAGTTTGATTCCCAGCACTGCACAGAGTAAAATAAATAAAATAAAATACATGCATAACTAGTACTTTTATTCCAAAAAAGGCTGTTGGAAGTAGGGTGGGTAATTTACTGTGAGTGAACATACAGATATTCATTATATTTTTGCTATTACTTTATCTTTTTTTATTCTCTTATTCCTGCCCTGCCCTGTCAAAACAAACAAACAAACAAACACTTTGAAAATCTGTGCCATAGTCATTCATTACTACTAATGGGCTTTGGTACTAAATAAGAGCTATGTATTGCATTGTATAAGCATTTCTGTGGTATATGAAGTGTGGCTAGATGATTTTGTGTGTGTGTGTGTGTGTGTATGTGTATGAATATGTGTTTGTGTGCTGATCCTGGGTGGGGATTGAACTCAGGGCTTGAATCCTATGCCTGATCTTTTTTGCTCAAGGCTAACTCTCTACCACCTGATCCACAGCTCAACTACAGGCCTTTTTTTTTTTTTTTTTTTGACACTTAGAGATAAGAATCTCACAGGCTTTCTTGCCTAGGCTGGCTTCCAATCATGATTCTCAAGTCTCAGCTTCCTGAGTTGCTAGGATTACAAGTATGAACCACTGGTTCATGGTCAGATGATTCTGGGTTTTTATTTTTTGCTGAGTCTGTCCTAGGGCTTGAATGCAGGGCTTGGGTGCTTGCTGTGCTTGAGCTTCTTTTGCTCAAGGCTAATGCTCTACTAGTTGAGCAACAGTTGCACTTCTGACTTATACTGTGTAGTTTATTGGAGATAACAGTCTCAAAGATTTTCCTTCCTGGGCAGGCCTTGAACTCTGATTCTCAGATCTCAGCCTCCTGAGTAGCTGGGATTACAGGCATGAGCTACCAGCCCTCAGCAATGATTCTGTTTTTTAGAAGCAGGGTGGGATATTATTTGTCTTAGTGTTGCCTTAATTTTTGTACTCAGCATGTGCGTTCATAAATTAATAAATTACTTTGAAAATTAACTTGTAAACTTTGTGTCACTTAAAAATCAATGTATTTATTTTGACAACTTTAAATCATTAAGAAGAGAGGTTAGCTTATTTTTGTGGGGAAAGGTATTAAATACTAAATAAACTTGTGTGAGATTCTTTAAGTCAGCCTTTATTGGGGTTTTCAATTTGTTGAAATTTATAAACTTCTTTTAGAAAAAAGCTAAGATTTGTGAATTCCTCAACTATGTAAAAAACTCTTAAAACACAAGCTTGAAAGAAGATTAAGTACTGTTAAACCACCAGGCACTAATGGCTCATGCCTGTAATCCTAGCTACTCCGGAGCCTGTGAACTGGAGGATCAAGGTTTGAACAGACAAGACAGAAAAGTCAGAGAAATTCCATCTCCAGTTAACTAGAAAAGCTGGGCTACAGCAGAAGTACAGCAGCTATGAGCAAGCAAGTCCATGAAGGAGCAAGCAAGCCCAGCAAGCCCCTGAGTTCAAGCACCCAGTATCTATAAAAGAACAAAACAACAACCACCCAAATCCCCCAAAGTACTATTAAGCCGGGTGCTGGTGGCTCAGAGATGCAATCTTAACTACACAGGAGGCTGATATCTGAGGACTGCGGTTAGAAATTAGCTTGGGAGGACAGTCAATGAAAATCTTATCTCCAGTTAACCAAAAAGCCAGAAGTGGAGCTGTGGCTCCTTGGCAGACTGCTAGCCTTGAAAAAAAAGAGTTTAAAGGGATAGTGCCCAGGAGTTCAAGCCCCAGGACCAACACGCACATACACAAACACACACACCCGAAGTACTAATAAAACTCTGCTTAGTTATCATGATATGATTTGTATTGCTTTTTTTTTTTTTTGGTAGCAGAATAGTAAGGGACAATAAGGAGTAAGGATAAGTTGGTCTAATTGAATTATTAGGTAGTAATCCACAGGATCTTGGCTGCCCTTGTGTGTTAAGCATAATATTGGAATGAAAAGAGAAAGCAATTTAAACACTTCAAAATCTCAGAATACATGTTTACACTGTTAGCTGTGACAAATACTATTTCGCTAGAAATATGCTTGGGAATTGTTAAAACTCACTGTGTAGAGGGCTCATGAGGAAAGGAAAGTGGGAAGGGTTGGCACTGATTGGACTTCACTTGGTTTTGGGTGAAGTAGTAACTTGCTTCTTTTTTTTGAATTTATTTTGAATTTATTTTATTTATTTTTTATTGTGAAAATACTGTACAGAGGGGTTACAATTACATGGGCAAGATAATGAGTACATTTCTTATCAAGCATTGTAGCCTCCTCCTTTGTTTCCCCTTCCCATCCCATCCTTCCCCTCCCCCCACCCAATCTTCCTCCCCTGCCCACCAAAGTTGTAAAATTCGTTTTAGACATAAGGAATTGTACATTGTTGCAATGGGTCCACCTGTATCCCTATTTAAACGATTTGTTTTTTCCCTTCCCCTCCACAAATTATAACAACATCAAATACAGTGAAAGCAGGGGTTATACCATGGGGGAGGGACATACAAAGCAACAAAGAAATAATCTTATAAATGTGTTAGAAACAATCGCATGAAAGAAAAAAAAACATTTGAATACATACCTTAGGGTTCATTTCCCTAACATCGACTTATCTGACCTTTTCTGCTTGTCTCAGACATATACTAGTTATTGCAAATAAGGGAAACCATGGGACCTATGTTTCTTTGGGCCTGGCTTACTTCACTTAATATAATTTTTTCCAAGCCTTTCCATTTCCTAACAAATGGGGCAATGTCATTCTTTCTGATGGAGGCATAGAATTCCATTATGTATATATATCACCTTTTCTTGATCCATTCATCTACTGAGGAGCATTGCAGGATGGAAAAGGAGAAACCCTAGGTCTCCTTGGCACAGGCCGAAATTTTCTTAATAGAGACCCAGAAACACAACAAATCAGAGAAAGGTTGGACAAATGGGATTGTATGAAATTGCAGAGCTTTTGCATGGCAGAGGACATAGCTAGCAAGATGAATAGAAAGACCATGGATTGGGAGATCTTCACTAGCCATATAACGGACAAGGGTCTCATATCTAAAATATATCTGGAACTCAAAAAATTAAATCCCACAATAACAAATCTTCAAAGAAACAACTGCCCAATAAATAAGTGGGCTAAAGACTTAAAGAGAAACTTCTCTGAAGAGGAAAGAAGGATGGCCAATAGACACATGAAGAAATGCTCAACCTCTCTAGCCTTAGAAGAAATGCAAATCAAAACAACATTGAGATACCACCTCACCCCAGTTAGAATGGCTATAATCAAGAACTCTAATAACAACAGATGCTGGAGGGGATGTGGACAGAAGGGAACCTTACTGCATTGTTGGTGGGAATGTAAACTTGTTCAACCACTTTGGAAAGCAGTATGGAGGTTCCTCAAAAGACTCCACATAGAGCTCCCCTATGACCCAGCAATCCCACTTTTGGGCATTTACCCAAATGGTCCCAAACAAGACCACACAAAAGCTGCCAGCACGACTATGTTTATTGTAGCCTTATTTACCATAGCTAAGATATGTAACTTGCTTCTTGTCTCTGCAGTTCCCATGTGAAAGATGTCTCTCCTGGTCCTCTGATGGATGTTACAAATCTTCCTACTCCACGAAAATTCCTTGATGCCACTCAGTTTTCTGCTGCTGGGAACTCCACTGGTGAGATTTGTGTGTGTGTGTGTGTGTGTGTGTGTGTGTGTGTGTGTGTTGGTCGTGGGGCTTGAACTCTGGACCTGCTGTCCCTGCGCTCTTCAGCTCCACTGAAGGCAAGAGCTCTACCACTTGAGCCACAGCACCAGTTTTCTGGTGGTTTATTGGAGATAGGAGTCTTATGGAATTTTCTGCCAGGGCTGGCTTTGAACTGTGATCCTCAGATTTCAGCCTCCTGAGTAGCTAAGATTACAGGCGTAAGCCACTGGTGCCTGGCTCAACTAGTGAGTTTTTATGCTTTAGCCACTAAACTTTTTATATGCTGCAAATCCAACTTGAAAACCTGTGGGGCTGGAGCTGGGACTGGGAAAGTCTGAGCTAAGTGCCTTGGACCCCAATGAGTCCTTTGTAACCCTCATAGGAAATAAGATATAAAACCATAGATGGGCCTGTTGCATTATCTAGGTTGAAAACTGGCTGCTAGTCTCAGTGTGTCTGCACATTCCAGTGCTGAACATGTTTTATTACACCAGCACCATTTAGTTTCCTCAAGTTGCACTTGAGTGCTTTTTGGAAGAGCCTGTAAGTTTTGCTGTAATCTGTCATACTCTTATTGATACTGGATGGCAGGATTTTATGGCATGGAAACAGTAGAATTGAGGGCAAACCTTGTATTTGTGAACAAAGGTAAGCAAGTCTCCTTTCTTGTAACTGTAGCTCCAACCAGTCAACTTGAGCCAAAAGGAGTTAGCATTGACCTGAGGAACTAGGTTACACTCAAGAATGAGGAAAGCAGCAAGCTTTCATTGATTTATTTGGGGTTTGCTAAATTGGGTAACTGCCTGTTGGTCTTGGGTACACTATTATAAAGATGTTTTCGTTCCTGTGTGCAAGCTTTCTGGCCTTGAAGTTTGCTGGCTAGCAGGCAGAGACTTAATCCAGGAACTGAGTTCCTTATGTTTCCAGCGTCATCATCATGAGGCATTCGTTCTGCTCTTAGTGAAACACATAATTTATAAGGCTCAAAAGAACTTTCATTGCTTAAGCTGCTGAAAAAAGTACAGCAGTGAGGTAGAAGAAACACACCCCAGCTTGACCATGCAGGAGCCAAGTTAACGCTAAATTATCAACATGTCTACATGCAAAGCCGGGTAGGGTCTGAAGGAGAAGTTGAGGTAGCAAAAGGGATAGATATAATCTGAAGACCCAGATGTCAAACCTTTTGTCCCATTTTAGTCATTCAGGAGAGATTTATAGGCTATGAAAAATCAAGGTGTTTTTGTTGTTGTTGTTTTGTTTTGTTTTGAAGCAAAAGCAGCTTTTAAGTTTTGTAAAGTAACCTGGGCAATTCATAATACGCTGGAGTTCTTATCTGCAAAGGGGCTGTAGGACTTGGTTAGGCCTCTGTCTCATGTTTTAGCAATTCTTTCTTGTTTCTGTTGGTAATTTTTGTAGCCATCTTGAATCCCACAGGTTATAATTTGAATAACAGGTACTGAGTAATCTATTATCATTCAGACCTTGGGGCCTAACCTGGTGTTTGATGGCAAAGCTGTTGAAAGCATATTTTTTGATGGGTAACAGCTTAAGGGCCCAGAGTTTATTTGCCTTTTATTCCCTTGTGGTAGAGTTTTTTGTTTTTTGTTTCTTTGTCAGTCATGAGGCTTGAACTCTGGGTCTGAGCGCTGTCCTTGCACTCTTCAGCTCAAAGCTAGTCAAGGCTAGTGCTCTACCCCTTGAGCTACAGCGTCATTTCTGGTTTTTATTAGAGATAAGAGTTTCACGGACTTTCCTGCTCGGGCTGGGTTTGAACCATAATCCTCAGATCTCAGCCTCCTGAGTAGCTAGGATTATAGGCGTGAGCCACCGGTGCCCGGCTTTTGTGGCATGTTTTGCCTGTCTCACTATGGGCTTTTATGCAGTTGTTTAATGTATTACATTTTACATCTGATCCTTGAGAGTGAGTGTGGTTCCTGTCCTAGGACCTCATTCAGTTTTTTGCTTCTGGTGGCCTCATACTTGCCAAATGTATCTGCATACCTATATGCTCACACATAATACATTTTAATCCACAGATTAATAGTTTCTTTTTGGGGGTGACAGTATCATGTTGAATAACATAAAGGAAAGCCATTCTGATCTGATACAATTTCTTTGATTTTGGATGTGAAGAATTAGGGGAGTGGCTCACACTTGACCTTTTTGCAGAACACAGCTTGCCTGAGTTCAAAAAGCTTCTGGGTCTCTGTGGAGGGTTTCTGCCTTGCATCTTTGGGATGGGGAGAAGAACATCTAATATCTTCTACCAGGCTTTTCAGGTGCCTGAATTGCAGCCAAACTATTCAATGTCTTAAAAAAAGTAAAAAGCAGTATTGTCGGTTATTGCCTTTCAGGTAAAAATGAGTTCTTGTAGTTCTTATTAATTTTGTGAATCTACACAACTTGAAATAATGTAAAACTAGAATAGATAGAAACATAATTTAAATTCAGTAAATACACTTTTGCAAGTAATTGAAAGTGTTTCTTTTGAGAACTTAATATGGTTATTTTTGGGGCATATTTCATTATCCTTAAAATGTCATTTAATTAAATTATTTTAGGATTATTTAGACTTAGAGTCTTAACATTTATTAGTTTTACTGTAGAAAAACATAGGAATTGCTTAATAATAAGGTTTTGTTAGTTTGCTTAGTTATTAATTTAGAAAAATCCTAGACATTTAAGATACTTTATACTATGGTGGTTTTAAAATCCAAGCTTTATACTGAAATTTGGAAAGGTTTTATTTTTTCATTTTGTTAGTTTTCATTAAAAATTTGACATTATTTGAACTGTTATAGAATCTAAAATTATTACAAAATATATACATATATCTTTAAAAATTAATTTTATTTATTTTTCTTTATGTGCTACTAAGGAATCAAACGTAGGGCCTTGTACATGCTAGGCAAACCCATATGTATACTTAAAATTTTTTTTTTTTATTATAAAGATACTTAGTTACATGAGTAAGGTACTGAGTACATTTCCTATCGAGCATTGTTACCCCCTCCTTTGTTTTTCCCCTACCTTCCCTTCCC